GAGAAAAAACGCCTTAGGGGTGAACAATCTTAGGGGTGGACGGCCCTCGAAAACTGAACTGGGCCGTCCAGGAGTCGAGGGCGTCCTGCCCAACGAAACATGCTTCAGGAGCCGATAGCGTCCTACAACACAGGCATCCTCAAACATTCTCCATCTCAAACAAGATGTATGCCAGCACCGACGCCTCCGGTCGTGGCTTGCCCGACTCCTGCATGCACTTCAACAAGTCTGGGTGCTGTTCACAAAGTCATGCCTGGAGTCGCTGAGACTCCACTGCCAAGCCCTCCAACACAGGACAAGCAAGAAGCTCTCCATCCACCCTACGAGCACAAGTGCATCCGAAGCATGCCCTCAGCAGCTCCTTCGAGACCTGCTCCTTCAACTTGTGCCAGGTTGCTCTCCGCAAGGACTCTTTGCGCAGACGGTAGGGTGAACAGTCACCTAAAAATGAAACGAGATATTGCAGAAGCCAGGGGCATCCTAACAACCGAAACATGTTCAGGAGCCAATGGCATCCTCAAACAATGACTGTCAAAGAGAAGAAAAAGTCGTTAGGGGTGAACAGTCATCTAAAAATTAAACGCAAAATCGTAGGAGCCAGGGGCATCCTGACAACCGAAACATGTTCAGGAGCCGGAGCCAGGGGCATCCTGACAACCGAAACATGTTCAGGAGCCAATGGCATCCTCAAACAATGACTGTCAAAAATAAAAAAAACGTCTTGGAGCCGAGGGCATCCTGCCAAACGAAACATGTTTCAGAAGCCAATGGCATCCTCAAACAATGACGGCCGAAGAGAAAAAACGCCTTAGGGGTGAACAATCTTAGGGGTGGACGGCCCTCGAAAACTGAACTGGGCCGTCCAGGAGCCGAGGGCGTCCTGCCAAACGAAACATGCTTCAGGAGCCGATAGCGTCCTACAACACAGGCATCCTCAAACATTCTCCATCTCAAACAAGATGTATGCCAGCACCGACGCCTCCGGTCGTGGCTTGCCCGACTCCTGCATGCACTTCAACAAGTCTGGGTGCTGTTCACAAAGTCATGCCTGGAGTCGCTGAGACTCCACTGCCAAACCCTCCAACACAGGACAAGCAAGAAGCTCTCCATCCACCCTACGAGCACAAGTGCATCCGAAGCACGCCCTCAGCAGCTCCTTCGAGACCTGCTCCTTCAACTTGTGCCAGGTTGCTCTCCGCAAGGACTCTTTGCGCAGACGGTAGGGTGAACAGTTTGCGCAGACGGTAGGGTGAACAGTCACCTAAAAATGAAACGAGATATTGCAGGAGCCAGGGGCATCCTGAGAACCGAAACATATTCAGGGAGCCAATGGATTCTCAAACAACGACTGTCAAAAAAAAAATCTTGGAGCCGAGGGCATCCTGCCAAACAGGAGCCAATGGCATCCTCAAACAATGACGGCCGAAGAGAAAAAACGCCTTAGGCGTTCTGCAGGGAAAATTGTCCCAGGAGCCAAAGGCATCCTCCTAAAGAAACGTTCTGCAGGAGCCAGTGGCATCCTCAAACAACAAAGTGTGTGCTAGGAGCCTCTGGCGTCCTAGAAACATACAAAAGCCCCCGGAGCCGCTGGCATCCTCAAACAACAACACGCGCACAAGGAGCCGATGGCGTCCTCGCGCGGCGTCCATCACCAGGAATTTCTCTGGCCAAGGCAGAGGGAACACTGGCAAAGCGGCCAGGAATGACGCGTACGCTCTTTCGGAACCTCACGGCCCTGCTCAAACAAGAGGTACGCCAGCACCGACGTCTCCGGTCGTGGCTTGCCCGACTCCTGCACGCACTTCAACAAGTCTGGGCTCTGTTCACAAAGTCGTGCCTGGCGTCGCTGAGACTCCACTGCCAAGCCCTCCAACAAAGGACAAGCAAGAAGCTCTCCATCCACCCTTCGAGCATAAGTGCATCCGATCAGCAGCTCCTTCTTCGAGTCCTGCTCCTTCAACTTGTGCCAGGTTGCCACAGCTCTCCGCCAAGACTCTTTGTGCAGACGGTATAGTTCGAAGCACGGCATCTCCAGCCCGTGCAACTCTGCGAGCTGCGGCGAAGTGCACCGCAGCATTGGGGATGTCAAAGTGTGCGCTAGGAGCCTCTGGCGTTCGAGAAACATACAAAAACCCCAGGAGCCAGTGGCATCCTCAAACAACAACACGCGCACCTATGGCGTCCTAGAAACATACAAAATGCTTCAGGAGCTGAAGGCCTCCTCCCGTAAGAAAACATGCCCCAGGAGCCAATGGCATCCTCGAACAAAAACATGCGCACCAGGAGCCGATGGCGTTCCGCAGAGAGAAAAATGTCCCAGGAGCCAACGGCATCCTCCCTAAAGAAACGTTCTGCAGGAGCCAATGGCTTCCTCAAACAACAAAGTGCGCGCTAGAACCTCTGGCGTCCTAGAAACACAAAAGCCCCAGGAGCCACTGGCATCCTCAAACAACAACACGCGCACAAGGAGCCGATGGCGTCCTCGCGCGGCGTCCATCACCAGGAAATTCCTTGGCCAAGGCAGAGGGAACGCAGGCAAAGCGGCCAGGAATGACGCGTACGCTCTTTCGCAACCTCACGGCCCTTTTCAAACAAGAGGCACGCCAGCGCCGACGCCTCCGGTCGTGGCTTGCCCGACTCCTGCACGCACTTCAACAAGTCTGGGCTCTGTTCACAAAGTCGTGCCCATCTTCACCTCCCCCTTCTCTTCTCTCCCCGGCCTTCCCCCCGCTTTTCCTCCCTCGTCCGTTCCCCCCCAATCTCCTTCCGGCCCCCCTCCTTCCTACCTCCTCTCTCATCACCCCACCCCTCCTCAGCTGGGGGGGCACGCCCCTTCCCTCCTCCTTCGCCCCTTCCTGACCCAGCCTCCATTTCCCCCAATACCTTCCTACTACCTCCCCATACTTCTCCCCTCTCTCCTCTTCTCTAGTCCTCCGCCTCTACTCTACCGACTCTCGCTTCTCGGAGACTTTTCCCTCCTCTCCCTCCGGGGGGGGGGGGGGGGGGGGGCGGGGGTTTGTGGAGTCGCTCAGACTCCACTGCCAAGCCCTCCAACAAAGGACAAGCAAGAAGCTCTCCATCCACCCTTCGAGCAAAAGTGCATCCGAAAAAATGCCCTCGGCAGCTCCTTCTTCGAGTGCTGCTCCTTCAACTTGTACCAGGTTGCCACAGCTCTCCGCCAGGACTCTTTATGCAGACGGTAGGGTGAACAGTCACCTAAAAATGAAACGAGACATCGCAGGAGCCAGGGGCATCCTGACAACCGAAACATGTTCAGGAGCCAATGGCATCCTGAAACAATGACTGTCAAAGAGAAGAGAAAGTCGTTAGGGGTGAACAGTCATCTAAAAATTAAACGAGATATCGTAGGAGCCAGGGGCATCCTGACAACCGAAACATGTTCAGGAGCCAATGGCATCCTCAAACAATGACTGTCAAAAATACAAAAAACGTCTTGGAGTCAGGGACATCCTGACGACCGAAACATGTTCAGGAGCCAATGGCATCCTCAAACAATGACTTTCAAAGAGAAGAAAAGTCGTTAAGGGGTGAACAGTCATCTAAAAAATTAAACGAGATATCGTAGGAGACAAGGGCATCCTGACAAACGAAACATGTTCAGGAGCCAATGGCATCCTCAAACAGCAAAGTGTGCGCTAGGAGCCTCTGGCGTCCTAGAAACATACACAAGCCGCAGGAGCCAGTGGCATCCCCAAACAACAACACGCGCACAAGGAGCCGACGGCGTCCTCGCTCAGCGTCCAGCACTTTGCCATGCCATCTGAAAGCTGCGTCTACCCGCTCTCCGAAGCTTTGCATCTCATGCGACGTGGAAGTCAGGCATGGCTGCCTGACCAGTGTGATCTGCACGGCAGCCTCTCAACAGACACGTCCTAGCAGAGCCGTCCGGTAGCATGAGTACGACAGCGCTGCCTTCTCCACCGGGCCGCTCGACTCTGAAGGAGGTCTCAACCACTGACTCCCGTGTTCCACATACTGGTCGCTCTAGCAGCGCATCAGGCGGCAGCCCATCTTCCTTGAATCGGCCTACCACGAGCCCATGGCTTCAAAATACAAGAAACTCTGAAAGCCAATGCCAAGCAACAAAGCGCGCCAATGGCATCCTCAAGCAACAAAGCGCGCCTTAAGAGCCTAGAAACATACAAAATGTCTCAGGAGCCAAAAGCCTCCTCCCATAAGAAACCATGGCCCACGAGTCCCTAAAATAAGAAATGAATCAAAAGGCGCGTGCATGCCCCATGCCAGCTGCCTCTTTTTCGCGTCCCCTCCGCTGCATCTGTGCTCTTCAACAATAGCCATGAACCGCCTTGGTAGGCAACATGCCCTCAGACTTGATTAATTAACGCATTCCCTTCTCAAGCCGACAAACTAAGTATGTTGAAAATGTCCTGCCATATACCACAGCGCTGGCATCCCAGCACCCAACTTAGTCTGAAGCTAGGCCCCTCCAGCCAGGCAACAGCCACAGAGCGCCCCCCATAAAACTGACCGCTCCCACACGGGCCTCAACAATACATGGCAACCCGCAACCTACGCTTGGACACCCTCCTATAGCTCTGCAGGCGCCAGGGCCGCAGTACAGACATCGAATTACACGCAGTGTCGCACATCCACTCACTGTGCTGGCCTAGCCCTTCTCACCCACTTTGACGTCCTCGGGCCGACCAAGGCAAGTAACTGGCTCAACACATGAAAACCACCAAAGGAGACGTGCCTCCAGAAACGAAAACACCAAGCAAGCACACACAATAACCCTGCCAGCACCCATTGCCACCTAAGCATCTTCAACTTCGTGAAGACCGTCCGCTTCAATCGCCGAGTAGATCCGAGATCGCGGAGGCGCTTCTTCTCTTCCCTCCTCGCCGCCTCTACCTGCCAGCGGCGCGCTTGCTCGGCGGACCGAAGCTTGCGCGCCGCCATGAGCTCAGCGGTCACATGGTGCAGGGGCTTCCGCAGCTCTGCCCGGGAAGCCACGCTCTTCAACTCCTGCACTGCGTGGCCGTGCGCCTGAACTCGGCAGAGCTCCCCCTGCAGCACGCAAAGGATCTCGCGGCACAATGGTGGGCCATGAGCTTTGCCAAGCCAAACGCCTGCAGCTGTAGTGGAAAGGCCTCCAGGTGCTGCTGCACGATCGTCTGCTGCGAAGCCTTGAGTTGCGCGTGCAGCGCTTCGTTCCCACACGTGCCCCAGCTCATCAACCTCGCGGCTTCGGGCCCGACAACTCGCACTACCGCATCCATGATGTAGCTGCCATTCATCAAGTAGCGGTAGTGCCGGTATGACACCCCTGCCTTCAGGATCTCTCGGATGCTCCTGGCCTTGGCGTCTTTCCTGTCCATCTCCCTAGGAAAGTCCAAAGTCAGTCCATGCACAGCATCCACGTACTCCTGGTGGCTCTCAAACGGCTTCTTCATATAGGTGCCCCAGTCTACCTCCTCAACGACCTTCTCCTCGTGCTCTGGCCAGACTCCGTGCGGCACCCCGTCTTCCCTGCCATGGTAAACTCGGCCTGTGGCCGGTGCCCGGAACTTGCCCTGTATGCTAAGCAGCCGTCTAGATAAAGCCGTGCGCTTCTCGCCCGAGCATGCTTCAACCCGCAGGACAAAGTGCAGCGCATCCTCTCCCACAGCTTCAAGGTGCGGCAGAACTGAGTCAGCTCCTTCCACAGCATCTGGCGAGTCTGAGAAGACAAAGCGAACTGTGCAGCGTGCGTCATAAGGCAGCAACTCCTTCATGGCTCGCTTGAAGCAGCCGGCCCCCTCCGTCCGCTGTAAGGAGAAGCCGGCTACGGCACCAGATCTCCCCAGCACGGTATGTATGGCGTGCGTCTCTCCATCGCCCTGCCGCATGGCCTGTCGCCAGCGCTAACGAAAAAAAATAAGCTCAGGTGGTATCCCCAGCAGCTACGCCTGGCCTGCACCAGACCACGCCGGAACCTTCGGAACCTTCCTTGAACCCTACACCTAACCTGCGCCTCACCCCGAAACTTCCGGAACCCTGCGCCCCAACCCCGGAACCTCCCGAATCTTCCTTGAATCTTACACCCGTCCTGTACCAGACGACCCCGGAACCTTGCTCGAACCTAACTCCAGCGCTCGCCCGAAACACCCCCAAACCTTACCTGGGCCGAGACGCCTTAGCTTTCAGCTGTTGAGGAAATACTCCGATACAATTGGAGCAAGCCAAGTGCTACAGTGACGCCAGCCACCGAGCTCGTGTCTTGGAATCCAACCAGCGCAAACTTCGACACAACATCACAAGCCAGCCTTCTGGCCGATGGCACTGAACAAGACCTGGAAGGTTGCATCGTGGCTGCATACCAGCCACTCCGAGCGACGGGTTGCCTCTCCCATCAGCTGCGCCTGAAGGCCTACAACCTTGGGCTGTGCCAAGACCATGTCCAGCACCTGCTGTCGAGTTTCCCTGCGACGGCAGCCCATCCAGGCACACAGACTGCCGCAGGACACCCACTCGCTGGTGATGTCGTTGAAGATGGTCTGGATCTTGCCGCGATGTTTCAAGGCCTTGGCCAGGACCATGTCGGCGAAGTCTCCGTGCATGTATAAGGACTTGTTCACCCGCATGGCAGCGTCGGTCTGCTTCTTGATCACCAGCTGCGGCCCTTGCCTTGTTAGCACCAGCGCCATGTCTACAAAGTTGTACTTGGCCAAGAGCTTCTCAGACTCGGCGTCGATCGATGCCCAGGAATGAATCAGCCTTGCCGAGCAAGCAAGCAGGCCCTCCTCGCCACCGGCTCCCCGCCGCAAGCATTCCAGCACCTGCGCCCATCCCTCTTCCGCCCCGTGAGCTGTCTACCTGCCTCCCCCCACACCTTGCCTTGCGCTGCTCATAGACGCTACATGCCAAGTAGTACTGCTGCTTGGTGGTCGTGAAATCCGTCTTGGGCAAGTGATGCTTCTTCAAATGTGTCACCAGATGGGCCCTCCGAGTGAACGACCGAAATGGACACAACGTGCAGCGATGTCCCGGCTCTGGGTTCGCCGACCCTGCTTGGTCGATGACACCTACAGCCCCCCCCCTCTTTTGGTCCGGGTGCGCCGATGATCAAACAGAAACCGACATGTTTGTGCGCATCACTCCTGCACGCAGTCTGGCGCCTGAGGCTCTGACGCATCACCTCTGCTTCCACCTCCGCGCGCATCAGGCCGCGTACTTCTCCAATGATGTCCTCGGCCAAGGACTCGTCCTCTCCTCCTCGCCGAGCACCGGCCAGCACGTCCATGTCCGCGCCGCCAGTATCCGTCTTCCTCCGCTTGTCGGGTCTCGCATCAAGTGACAACTCTGCCAGAAATACTCGCAGGCGGCACTCACCACTGACCATCTGCCAGAAGTGCTGCTTGTCCACTTCCCACGCGGTAGAAGGACTGGAAGTGACAATGACCACGGTCTCTGGGCCTACCAAGGCCCCATATGCGTGACCTATCTCGTCTCCATCGGGGCAAAATTCGTGCACCAGGCAGCGTGCGCCGCCAGGAAGGCTGGGCGCCTCTTCAGCAGACAGGCAGCGCAAACACAAGCCTGACACGCGGCTTGCAACCTCCTTGTACGAAATAGGGTGGTCCTGTCCGGCAAACTCTCGAGCCAGCGCTTCTTCCGTCTCAGGAAATAAGTTGGCCAAGGCAGAGGGAATGCAGGCAAAGCGGCCAGGAATGACGAGTACCTCTTTTGGAACCTCACGGCCACTCAGCCAATGCTGCAGTGAACTGGTACTGGCTGTCTCGGTGCAAACCTTGGCAACCTGCATGCGAATCCCCGTCAGAATCTCGAAGTCCTCCACCAAGGTCTCCGCATCTCCGTCTGGGTCTGGGGCGGCCACGACGGCATCAAACACAGGCGCCACCATGGCAAACTTGTGACGAGGAAGTAACTCAACAAACTGCCTCAGCTTTTGATTCTCCATCTCAAACAAGATGTATGCCAGCACCGACGCCTCCGGTCGTGGCTTGCCCGACTCCTGCATGCACTTCAGCAAGTCTGGGTGCTGTTCGCAAAGTCGAGCCTGGAGTCGATGAGACTCCACTGCCAAGCCCTCCAACAAAGGACAAGCAAGAAGCTCTCCATCCACCCTGCGAGCATAAGTGCATCCAAAGCATGCCCTCAGCAGCTCCTTCTTCGAGTCCTGCTCCTGCAACTTGTACCAGGTTGCCACAGCTCGCCGCCAGCACTCTTTGTACGAACAGTATAACTTGAAGCACGGCATCTCCAGCCCGTCCGACTCTGCAAGCTGCACGGCGAAGTGCACCACAGCATTGGGGATGTCGAACTCCACGGAATTGGCTGGGGCAGCGTGACGCCTAGCTTCCCGGCTCAAGTTGGGGACGCTCAGCCACGGAAAGAACACACGACCCAGCGATCGGCCTGCGGCCACCTTTTGGTGCCCCACTGTCAGCAGCAGGTGCAGGCTGCCACTCTGTCTGCCCTGCGCTTCGCACATAGCCACAAAGTCTTGAACTTGCACTTGTCGTCGGTCACGTCCTTGGCTCATGTAGTCACGAAGCCTTTGCAGGTCCACAGCGCAAGTCACTTCCCAAGCATCTCCGTCTGGGAGCCGACGCAGTTCCGGCACAGGATCAACCCATTCTTTCTGGTCATGCCACTGCCATTGGGGCCAACTACCGAAAATTTGGACGAATGAACCTTCTCCAGCACAGGTCGCTAGACACCGCTCCCACTCGGCGACATCCAGCAATCTGCGCTCGAAACGCTGAATGATGTTTGGGAATGAAGCCACCGAGTCCCGCAGCCAATCCACACGCAGCTTCTTGCTGCCGTCTGGCCGTGCTTTTTTCGCAGGCACCACGCCTGGATTCGCAGCCACGGCAGCTCGGTTCACCTCCGCCTGCAGCACGCAGGGATCCCACATACACACACATGCAACGACGAGCAGACCACTGGCGCCACACACACACACACAGCAACACGCGCCACGTGCTTTCTAAGGCCGCCGCCGTCCCGAAGTACTGGCCAGCGAACATCTTGTGCGTCTCCCTCACAATCTTCTCCGCCACAGACGTGGTCGCTGCTTCCTCTTCCGATCGCGCAGGTGCGGATGGACGGGCAGCAGCATCCTCTTCTGGCTGCGCTGCCTTGCTCGAGCGGTTCATCCGAGCAAGAAGCCATTTTGTGTCCAGGGTCGTGGTCGAAACTGCCCCTGGGCTCTCCAATCGGTCACTGCAAGCCTGGACTCCGAACTTCTTCATGTGAGGGAACAAGAAGTCGTGGTAAAAGCACCACACCGCGGCCCCGCTGGACATGAAGTCCTTTGCCCTCGCGTCCGCCGCAAACACCTTGTCCTGAACACTGACAGCCTCTGACTGGGGAACGAATCGGCTCCTCATGTATGTGCAGCGAAACCTCCGTGCGTTAGACCTTTCTTCTGACGTGGGGATCTCAGGGATGTCAGCGGTGTTCATACACCACACCTTTCCAGCGTAGCGCCAGCACCCATAAGTGGTCTCCTGCGCGTGGTTCTTCCTCAAAGGGAGCCAGCCGCCGCCAATGTAATTTTTCATCAAGTCCTCGCAGACACCTTGCTGCCTCCTGGCCTCGTCGCAAGCCATCCATACAGCGTGAACGAAGTTGGATCCCTGGACCTGAAACTCTCTCTCGACTTGCAGCATGGAACAAGGGCAGTTCCCGAAGCCCGAGCCGAACACTGCGCGCATGTGGTCCACAAACACCAAGGTCTTCCCATCGTGGCCTTCCCCCACCACGACGTGCATGACATCGGGCTGCCTTGTCCGCGCAACCACTAGAGCGCACTGGTCTAGCAGCACCTGCAAGCCATTGCCGCCGGCAAAAGCAGCCATCAGCATTGCAGCATAGCGGCAGCGTGTCTCTACTCCAGGGGCGCTGGACAGCTCCGCCGGTATCCACATGTAGCACCCACGACGAGCATCCTTCAGGGACGCGCCCTTCGTGCGCACTCATGCAAGGAAGAAACATGACACAGTGATCGATCCTCGCAGCGTCGCATGCTCGAAATTTCCTTCTCGCATTGAGTCTGTGTGTTTGTGTGTGTGTGATTTTTGCTGCTCTCTACACGAAATACCCTAGCCATCGGCCGGCCTTCTTCCATTTGACGCACACCCCCGTCCACAGTGCTGAGGTAGCAGTCTTGAAAGCAGAGCCCAGCTTGTTGTTTCTCATCCACCGGCTCATCACCCCAGCGCAGGAAGGCTTTCACAATAGTCCTGCGAAACTGATCGCACAAGTGCGGCCCGTTAACCCCCCCGGAACCATTGCAAACACGCAGACTGCCTCATTAGGATACGCCCGCGCCGTGAAAACTTCTCCTGTGGTGCTCTGCAAAGGTGTGTCGAAGGCTGCGGCATAGTTCAGCCAGTCCCTGCAGCCAGTCACTGGCTCGCACATCTGCCTTTTTCGGCACAATGTCCTCCAGCTGCCACCTCATAAGGACATCGTCGAAAGCCACACGCTCGACGACGCGCAACTCCCATACCATGTCCTCGAAGTTTCTCTTCGGCTTCGCCTTCGAGAGCACGCTGAGGTGCGCCTGCGCACGCCGCAGTCCGTCCAAGACGAACTCCAGGCGATCTGGAGCCAGGCCAGTAGCGCATGGGCGCCATGCACCGCTGACATACTCGAAGAGACAACCAGCGTGACATCGATAGAGCTCGCCCGCCAGCAAGCAAAACAGCCGCGTTTGCAGCAACTCACTTTTCCCGTCGTCTGGCGAAGCCTTCAAGAGCCTAAGCTGCCCAAACAAGACTCCTGCTCGCGCCAGCGAGGCCTCGCCCGTGAATCTTTGGAATCCCTAAAAAACATATTGTCCCTGGTGAAGCAAAATGTCGACTTCAAGAACAAACCGTATGGGACCGCGCGGGGGGTCAAGACCGTGCCAAAACTATCCTGTCTCGCCCAACCTGATCAATGGCGTTTCTGGGCCACACTGAAACTTATTCAATTCGAGATCTGTGTTGCCCCCCCCCCCCCGCACGCTTATGCTTCTTGCGCCGCGGCGCAACAACGAGACTTGCGCCGCTGCTCGGAATTCTCTCCGCTGGGCATTTAGCACTTTGCCATGCCACCCGAAAGCTGCATCTACCCGCTCCCTGAAGCTTTGCATCTCCTGCGACATGGAAGTCAGGCAAGGCTGCCTGTCTGGCATGATCTTCACAGCTGCCTCAGCGGATGCATCCCAGCAAAGCCAGGCCGGTCGCCATAGCTCCAGCACAGCAGCACTGGCTTCCCCACCTTCATTGCTGCCCTCTTCCCGGGGGCCGCTCGACTCTGCAGGAGGTCTCAACCACTGACTTAGCGGTGCTTCCTCGAAATCCTCGATCCGTGCATGATCGAACTCGGCTGAGGCTCGCATCTGCTCATGCAGCCGAGACCAGGCCGCCATGTCCTCTACAAACTCCCGCTCCATAGCCGCTTCGAGCTCGGCGGTCAAGCCTCTGCTTGCTGGCTTCAAACTGCTTTCGAACCCTGGGCAAGGTAATCCGAAGCTTCACCACCGCAAAAAAAAACATATGCCGAGAGACTTCCAATCTCCAAGACAGCCGACATGGAAGTGGACTCTACGTACTGCGCTGGAGCAAACATACACACGCACAAGCACGCATGGGTCGCCACTGCCAAGGCAGACCAACTAGACAACCGACGCCGCTGCGCCCAACAAACCCGACGATGCCGCATGAGCGGCTCTTGACGACTCTCAGTCACAGCAAGCGCCTTCCCGTATGGGTTGGGGGGGAGGGGGGGTGGCCGATGCTCCCGTCACATCCATAGCTGTTTTCTCTGATTGCTTTCCAGTTGCCTAGGGCATCCTCGGCCCGCTTGCTTGCCAGCAGCAAGTAGCAGCCTTACAAAAAAGGAATCCAGGAGCCAATGGCATCCTCATACAACCAAACGCGCGCCAGGAATGTTTCAGGAGCCGCAGGCCGCTCCCAAAAGAAGACATGCCCCGTGAGCAGCCCATGGCCTCCTCAAACAACAGCACACGCGGGAGCAGCGGAAGGCGTAGAAAAATACAGCCTGTCGCAGGAGCCGAAGGCCTCCTCCCAAAAGAAACACCCCCCAGGAGCCAATGGCATCCTCAAACCAACAATCGAGCGGGCCTCTCCGCGGAATACCCTACGGGTAGGATTGCCCTCGCTCTTCGAGCTCGAACACACAGCGCAGCTGGATTTTAGGGGGCGGATATGTTGTTCATAGTGTTTCTGTTGCATACTCACTGGCCCTCCTGGGTCTTGATAGGACCCAGCAAATCCCCGGCTCTACCAGCCGGAGGATGGATCGGGCCAGCGAGGCACGAGTGGATCGGCTGCCCCGCCGTCCATTGTCATAGACGCGCCAAAGAGTCACTCCTAAAATCTTCACAAAGGGAAACTATGACCTCCATTTGCTGAGGTCCCGGCAAAAAACGTCCAATGGTGCTAGACCCCCCTGCAATTGCAGCCATACCTTGAGATTCAAAAAAAGGCGCCTTTTTGGATTTGCGGCATTTCTTCCTGATTTGCGGCGTTTTTTTAGAATTGCGGCAGAGCTTGTTTTCAGTTTCTTGTACCCCCCGATTTGCGGCGGAAATTGGCGGGAATGCGGCGGAAATCGGCGGGAATGCGGCGGAAATTCCCGGAAAGCAAACAGTGTTGCGGCGTTTTTTGTTTTGGTTGCGGCATTTTTCTTTGTTTGCGGCTGATTTTCTAGAATGCGGCGGGAAGTTCCGCCGTAACGCAGGAAGTTCTAGATATTCTAGAACTACCATGTTCTAGAGACAAGCCGTCAACAAACGCGAGCCCGCCCATGCTCCTATGCTCATACCTCCGGAAATTGGACACGGCTTGGGGCCGCCCGCTGCGTGCAAGTCGTGACTCCTTTCTTAGTCCCAGTTTAAGGAGAATACAACTTTCCCTCTTGGTGACCACCGCGCACTTCAAAGCAAACAAAAGGCTGAAGGCGGATGCAATAAGACGTAACACAGCTGACACAACCCGAAACTCGAGCTTCAACTGGACCTTGAGTCCCGCACGGGAATTTCCGTGGTGTTGGAGACGGCTCGCAGCGTTTCGCGGACGCTCCCATCACTTCGAACTCAGGAGCGCTCCGCTAGTGGGAAATATCTCTTTGTCGGGCTTTTACTTGGCGATCTCCTTCTCAAATATTCTGCAAAGGGGGCACCTGCAAAAAGATAAAACGTACCAGTTGTCTGCTCTTGTGGTGCGGTGCAGTTCGGAGCAACCCTAAGAAAAGTGTGAGATGCCCTTCTGGAAGGTATTCTCCAAGTAGATGGCCCCAATGTGGATGGGCCGAATCCAGAATTCGAAAACAACCTGTCTTGCTTTGAGGCTACCCCCAATTCGAAAACAACCTGTCTTGCTTTGAGGCTACCCCCTGTTTTGCCCCGCGGCAAGAAAATCGTTAATTACTACATAAAGAAACATACCCGCGTTTCTCCCCCAGGGCACAAACGAGACGTGCTACGATGTCAGCTTTCAGGACCTCCAAGATTAGTGCTGTCCTTCTAGACTCGCTTTCAAGCAGGAGTACTCAAGACAACATGCCCGCACACTGAGCCGTGCCCGGTCGGCGCAACGAAAGAGCCGGCAATAGCGAAATGGATCCGGAGCCAGCGCCATTCGTGGCACGAGTGGGTGGGCTGCCCCGGCCGTTCGTGGCAAGAGTGGGTGGGCTGCCCCGGCGCCCATTATCATAGACACGCCAAATATTCACTCCTAAAGTGTTGACGAAAGCAATTCATGACCTCCAAAAACCAAATTCCCGGCAAAAAAACGGAAAAGGCTGATAGGATCCCGCCAAAAGCAACATCGATCAGCAGCCATATTCTCAAGCAAATAGAACATAAGAACTGCCATGTTCTAGAGACAACCTGCAATGGATGTGAGCCCTCCCCCCTCCCCCTCGTCCGTCGAATTGCTCCACGTTTGCTCAAACAGAACCCTCTTTTGGGACCCCTTTGAGGGGTCATTTACGTGTTTTTTTAAGCCGCAAAACAAAACAGTCAGACCGAAGACATCTACTTTTTGAACCAAAAGGTGCATTGCAGGCAGTTTCCTTGTTTTTGGCAGCGGAAAAGACACCGGCATCGTCATCTTATCTTCAGAAACACAAGGGCCTCCGTTCAGGCGGGACAAACACAGATTCCTTGACGCACGCGAAGCTGGAGCTGTTCAAGCCAGTCAGAGGTTGGAGCTTCTTCATTTCAGGCCCGAGAATCTACCGCTTTAAAAAGCTTGGAAGGAGCCCGTTCACTTGCGAACATATGCATGTCAACCTAGAAAACCCAGAGGCAATGAAACCCATCTGATCTGATTACCAAGCATATTCGATAGCATTGAGATCCCTTGCCGAAATCAGGCATGGCCATCCGGGACGGGCTCTCACTTTCAGCAGCTCACGGGCAGCATGGGCTATCTTCAGCACCGAGACGCCTAACGAAGTACAAACGACGAATGCCAAGAAGCGCGGGTTTCCGTCTTTGTCTTTACTTGCAGTTTGGACCAGCATAGAACGAAGTGACACCACGGGTGACCCGAAAACATAATGGAAAGTGAATGTTGCTTTCATGCGATACCTCCTCGTGCAAGATGGCTCATGCAAGTTTGGCTGCGCGATGAGGCTATTGATTTCATCGGGATAAGCCTTCGTAGAGCTTTTGAGGGGAATGAGCCTAAACTGAAGTACTCTGCGGCCTAGACGTCGGGGCACTATTGATCCTAAAAGAGGCCCACGCCAAGCATCTTATATGCTCCCACCCAAATACATCATTTGCTCTTACTTTGTCTCTTGTTTAAGAAGTCCGTGCCGGCATCCTTATTCCCTTATTCCCTACTCCGAATACCTTTTTTTTGGGTCGCACACGATTTTTTTGAACGATCTAGGTTTCCATGATAAACACCTCCCTGTTTTTGTAAAGGGATGCCATGATGTCATACCCTGTAACCAAAAATAGTTTTTGAAGGCTGCAGGGGTACTCGCAAGTTTGTGGGTTGCCCTTGCCCCCTAAACAAGAGGTTGATCACCACCTTTGAGGCTTATGAAAAAAACTATCTGATGCCACACCAAACCGAGGACCCGCCTGTGTCGGCACGTCGCCCAAACTCACGATGTTCCTCACAAGTTTGAGACTTCGAAGCACCCAAAACCCAGTGACTGTTGACAACATAGAAGCCAGCAGGATTTTCTACAGGACATTGTGTTGCCAATCACCCACCAAAAATGAGAGGATGTATCGGTGACTTGTCCAGTGGATTGGAAGTGAATACATCCGTAGCACGGGAGGCTGCGTTTTAGGACCCCAAATCATGGGTTTCAAGTGGTGGTTTTCCATCACCACCAAGCAAGGAGTAGAGACAGGTGATGTCCAAACAGCAGTGGTTGGGGGGGGGCGGGTGCTGGTAAGTTGTTCCCGTTGCCTATTTTAGGTGGTCCTACTGCCCGTTTGCACAGGGATTGCAGTAAGGCCAATATCAAACATCACAACTGTATTGGTAAAACCAATCTAGCTACAAGAAATTCCACTCCTGTGAACCTCCGCCCAAAATCAAAATTTGCCGGGAGTGTGACTTGCGAGAGGTCAGTCATGTGCAATAATTGGTTTACCCTAAAGTGAAACCCCCGCAATGGGACAACCCCAACTCTTTTTCAACCACCTGGACCCTCAAACTACCCAGGTCGGCACGCCACGAGGTGTCTGTAGCCTAAACACTTATTTCATACTAAAACCTGAAGCGAAATTGCATTCCACTATTTCTAGTGTCTGCCCGAACTAACTGCCGCGCACATGTGTTACCCTTTCTTGCCCATAATATCCTGGTTTCAACCCAGCTTTCCATAAAGCAAATGGAGGTTGATCAGAAGGTCCTCTACATGGGACCGTTACGGAAACCCATAAAAAAACAGATACTCTCCCACCAGAAGAGCCATAAACACCGAACGGACTACTTGCTTGCCCAAAGGACCTAAAAATAAAAGTGATAACCTTTTGAGACCTTTACTAAAAATAAACTAAACCAGGGAATACCGAAAGGTCAGATCCGGTCGATTCGGTCTGGACTGAAAAACAATGATCAGGGTATTCGGAGATTGCGAAATCCATCTCGGACCCTGGGCAGGGTCCAGCATAGGAGCGGTTCGCCTCAGCTCCGGACGAGTAACCGGACATCGAGTGTGTAGACCGCAGAGACATCGCGTGGGCAGTCGGCCAAAGTCTCTTCACTCGTTCTAAACGGATCTAAACGCACGTCAACCCCGAAAGTGAGAAAATTGGAAACCGATTTTTTTGGTTTCCCTTTCCCCTTAACACCACTCCCAAAGGGTACCCTCAAAAAACAAACACATATCATGACATCGGATTCTCAGTTGCACAGCTCAGACCCAAAAATG